AAATATGTTTGATTCTCACATGTCTCTTCCAGTTCGTATATATCCCAAATGTTCTGCTCCACTGAGGCAAAATTACCTGTTTCCCTTTTCCTCCCATTTTCTCATCTTCTCCCTCTTTATTTCCTCTGCAGTTTCATCCCCAGAGACATCTGCTGTGTGGAGCAATAAACTGAGAACAGAATAATTACCACAGCTTGCACTGTCTGAAACAACCTTCCGTGTTCTCATTTAAAATGCTGGCACTAGAAGTCAAGAATATAACAGGGTAAAGCAAGTTCCCAACTGCATCTGCCCCAAAGCGAATGTTTCTTTGCCACATGACAGAAGTTGATGCTTTTATTTACAGACGTTTTCCAGCCGGTGTTAAATGGAGCCAATCTTGTTCCCATGATAGGTTTCAACAGTGCTAAATGGTGGGAACACTCCGGAATGGCTCCCCTTCCAAAGCAAACTTGTGGCCTGCTGGAGAAGTGCAAGTTTGAAGGATTTGACTCGGAATTCTGTTTTCAACCCAAGCTGGTCTCTCTCTCTCTCTCTCTCTCTCTCTCTCCCCCCCCTCCCCCCCCTCCCCCAAATCCTGTTTTCTCTCAGGCGAGCCCTCCAGGCTGTGTGGGATGATCTACAGGCTTCTGATCAGAGGGAAAGAATGGCAGTGCTTTTCTGCCGAAATGCAGCTGTGGGTTTAATATCACAAAGAAAGCGAAAGAGAGTTGAGCCGAGCTATTTTCACAGTTCATTCACATAATGAATGTGAATGTCAAGACACCTTCATCTGAAGCCTGAGCGCTTTGGAACAAAACAAAACAGAAAAATGTGCTGGAGGTGTCAAGTTTCAGGAACGCACAAGCGGAGGTGGCAAAAAGCTGCGCAGCAATTGCTTTCTTCTCCATCATCATTCTATCTGGATAAAATATGACCGTGCTCCGGTCTTCTCCCCTGTCCCCTCTTCTAAGGAACAGACAGAGCAGTGCATGCCATGAAAGAAAGGCTGTTGGTACAAGTTTTTTTTTTTTTTGGGGGGGGTGGCGGGGCAGGGGGAAAGACCAGATATTAGCAACTAACCTAGAATGAATTTGTGGTTAGGAAGTTTTTATGGCACAGCCTCTGAGCACTGAAATAATTTATACTTAATTTTATATAGTTTTTAAATGTTCACGCATTAATCCTTACAGCAATCTTCTAAAGTTGCTCTCGTATTTTCCATATTATAGATGGGACTAAGAAATAATGGCTTGCCTGTGGCAATTGAGGGAATTCATGGCAGAGAGAAGATCCCAGTCAGGAACTGCCCATCACAGCCAGCACTCCTAGGGCAGAATGAACAAGTTGGTGGGAGGGCCTGAGCAGACCCACCCCTTTTTTCTTTAAGACATAATATGGCCACCAAGACTCCCAACTCTGGGAGTTTACTGTTTTCTCTGCATAGTTCCTTCTAGCTGTGTGGGGAGCAAGTTCAGGTCATATGAGATGCAATTACTTCCCACCATTTCTCCATGGTCCACCTGCTGCTGTCCGACTTCCAAGATTCAGTGGTAACAAAGCAACAAAAATCTTTAACAATTTTCTGCCAGAATGCATTGACAAAACCCCATGGAAGCTTAAAATGGTCAGATTTAGCTCCAAAATTAAGTGCAGTGGCAAACTGGTTTCCATTTATACATTTATTTATTTGCTGCTGCTATTGCACTAATATGTAGTAGGGCCAGCCCTGGAGTCCCCCATTCTCCATTCAAGTGACAGCTTGCAAACCATGCACACAGCTCCCATTTCAGTGGGAACTATCATGCACTTCTGTGAGGTAGGCTGGGGTCTGGCAATGGGATCTACGTGTACTGCATTCTTCTTCATGCCCGTAATTCCCAGCATGCATGAATGACCATGTTGGATGGCCGTTATTGGCCAAAAGCAAGAGTGCATTAGTAATTAGTGAAAATAATGTAGAAAAGGATATTATATTGGGGGAATCACTCTGAAAGTTATATTAGGCAAATTGCATTCAGAGTAATGTGTGTTCAGAGAAATGTGCATGGAAATGCACACAGATTGACATGGGAACTTTAAAAAGAATAATCTTAAACTGATGTTAAAAGAGGATTAACCAAGCATAAGAAAAACTGAAAAAAAGCAAAATTAAGAACTTGATTGTAGAAATAAATACCTTTAGTAGATTTGCCATCCCTCACAGCAAGAAGACCATGCAGTTTCCCCCAGTGATCAGTTGCCAGGCAGGAGGGAAGTCAACGGGTCTGTGAGCATCATATCCCTCAGTAATACCAGGCGAATTCAACAGCATCCTCTGACTTTCCGCACCAGGAGCAACTTCAGCTGCAGTGGCAAAATCCCAGTTGGAGGGGCCTCTGGTGCTTTCTTCTAGGAGCCCCAGTGGAAGGAGCAGGACACTGGCACTCCTGGTTTAAGTCCACAGAGGCAAGAAGAGGCCTCACTTCTGATTCCTATTGTGATCTATTTTGCATTCCTTCACCCTCAGTATGAAGACAGCACAGGACTATAACTGGGGTTTTTAGCTGAAAGACACATTTTCTTGAAGGAGTACATCAACTTTCATTCCCATGGCTCTGTGTGAGTAGATGTCACATCTTTCCCGTCTCCTCTAAAAAATGGTTGCAAATGTTGAGCCATGGTTCACCTTTGAAATACAGTTTTGTCCCGAATATGCACACCAACGTCCATTTCCCAGGATTGTGTGTACTTTGCCTCCTTTGAAAAGAGGTATGTGTGCTTCTTGGCATCATGAAGCCTGGAACAGACTAGAGCTTTGGATGGATGCACCCATGTTTATTCTGATATCCCAGGTTATGATTGCATAACGATGAAATGAACAGACAAAATGCCACATGGCCTAGTTCACAAACTCACCTGACCAACAACCCTAGTTCCGTGGAAGTGGACACTGTCTCTGAAGGACTGCTTTTGTGCAGTTTCTGATTGCGTTAATGGTGCCCTGAGTGGATCACACTGTAAGCTTTAGTGATACAAATAGTGATTATGCAGCAGGGATTGGTGGATTGTGCCCAATAACTGCCACAGAGCTGCTGATGGTGGTTGTTTCAAGCTAGCTCATATACTTTGTTGTTGTTGGCCATGTACCAAGAGCAAGCCAAGCAAAAATTCAGTCACTTAAGAGAAGACTTACAGTTTTTCTGTCAGGTCTCCCATGATATATGGTTTCAGTGTGTCCTATAGCCCACTCATTTCTTCATAGAGAAATACAATTAATTTTGAGCCACTGCTCTGTGTGTGTGTGTGTGTGTGTGTGTGTGTGTACTGATTTGTTGACTCAAAACAGTAACCTTTTTAAATTCCCTTTCTATTTCCAGGCAGTAAGGGCAATGGGGGATTAAGCAAAGCAGGAAACAGGCAGATAGACAGACAAGGGGAAGGGGAAGGGGAAGGGGAAGAGAGGAGAGGAGAGGAGGAAAGGAACCTTCTAACAAGATCTAAAGAAAGCAATCATATTATTCAAGCTATGTGTATGGAAAAACTGAAAGGTATTGTTTATGTAAGCTATCTCAATCTCAGAACAAGATGCATGAGGGGGGAACAAAATCAAGGGCTTGGATCTAGATTTACAGTGGAGCAACTATGCTGGCAAAGGGGGACTTCTCTGCCTCTTCAATAACACTGGAAAGAAGCAATACAACAAAAGAGGCTGGTACCTTTCCTGCCATTTTGCTGGGCCATCTACATCATTGCATTCTCTTCTGTGCCCTGCAGCCAAGGTGGGAAAACATCAGTGGCCAATAAGAAGGCTGCAATCTGGAGGTTACTTTTCAGAGACACATGATCTAAGGCAGGGGTCTCAAACTCAACTTCCCTGGGGGCCGCTGGAAGTAGAGTCTGGGTGAGGCTGGGCCGCATCAAGTATTCCACCACCGCGGTGGTGGTGGGCCGCTCATCCCGCGGCCGGCCCGGGCGCCGCCGGTACTTTGAAGGCCACAGGGCCCCTCCCCTGTGCTCTGCCCGTCCCGGCAAGTTTGAGACCCCTGATCTAAGGGATGTTACTGAAAGAATATAAAATTGCTTTGGACACAATTTCATGTAGAAAATGTATGTTTGTGGCTTCCCCAGCAAATGTATCATTTAAAAACGCCTATTTACCTACTAATGACCAACTTTAGTTGGCATATATTGCTTGCCATTGAATCATTGAATAAATCCACACAGCATCTTGATGTGTTCGTCTGACCAACTGTCTCTCTTGGAGGACCACTCAAGGCAGGAAGCCATGTTAGCACGTTCCATTTCCTGTGTCAGAGTCAGGGACTAGCCTGAAATAGTTTACAAGCTTCCTATTATCTAATGATTCTGTTGCATGCATTACTTTACTGAATATAACACCTACCAGTTAAATGAATGTTTTGGTATCAGTCCCAGTTCTTAAAGAACGCACTGCTTACTCAGAAGACAGTCAACAAATCCTGAGATAAGTATTAGCTCAAAAGCCACAAAGTACCAAAGACTCATCTATACCAACCTTCTCCAAGTTGGTGACCTCCAGCTGTGTGAGAATACAACATGCAGCATTCTCTCTGGGGATTGTGAGAGCTGTAACTGAGCACATCTGGGGAACACTAGGCTGGAGAGGCTGATTCACCAAGATGAATTGCTGGAATTGTTGGAATTCATGCTCCTGTTCAATAATTAACTTCTGAACCACTGTCTTGCATGTGTGTCTGCACTTACCCATTCTCCAGTCAGCTATCAGGTGAAATTAGGCAAAATTATTGCATAGTATGTTGCAAAGGGACACCCCTGTCCATTTCTATAGGGTTGGTCATAGCTGATCTTTAAATCAAATCTAACTGTGTATAAACAGTGCCTCTTAAAGGCAGCTTGAAACTCTTACAATTAGTTGGACTAAATTTAGTTATGCTTAGAGAAGACCCATTGAAATTACTGAGTTGTGATTAGTCACTACTAACTAAAATCCCACTGTTTCCAATGGGTCTGTTTTAAGTATGACAAAATCTGGATCCAATCTAATGTTTTACTTTGTTCCTGAGATATTCAATACTCCTGCCTAAACCAACAAAATACCCCAACTGTATGAAAAAGACTTTTGGCGTAAGAGGAAAAGGGAGGTGACTAAGCAAAGTCTTCATGGCTGTTTTCCCTCTTCCCCCTGCCCTATTTGGATGTGGAAGGAAAAGGGTGACTTGAAGGCTGTGACCCTGAGCTTGTGAACTGTGCATCTATTATTATTCACTGGTATGACAGCTTGTCCTAGTGTAATATTACCATCAGTCATGGGCCAGGATAGTCATAGTCACAATGATGCAAGGGGACTGTTGTCTGACAGTTCTGCACCCCCCCCCCTCAGAAATGGATTAGCATAGGAGAATCTGCACCTACTTGCCACAGTCTGGATTTATTTAAGCTTGTACTTTATTACATACTTTGCACATATGTAGACCAACAATTTAGTCCTTTTAGGACATTGTCACCTGAGTGATAATAAGTAATGTCCTCAGATTTCAGTCACCTTTTAAAGTTTTCTT